TATATATATATATATATATCAAAGAGCGTACCGCGCTAGGACGAAAAAGTTCGTGGCATCAGCATGTAATTGCACGGATTTGGAGACCTCCTCCACGCTAGACTCAAAGCAAGGCCCCACTGACCAAAGTTAGGGCTAATTTAATATACTATAATAGAACATAATATACTGTTTAGGGCCTAGGGTCAGGTCAACTGCACTTCGTCGCATTCCAAGTCCGCCGCCATCGAATAGCATTGGAGTGCCGCGAAACTTTGACTTATCTCATGTATGCAACTGCATGTGTGTTGTACACACACATACACATATATAGAGATCTAAATAAATAAATAAATATATATATATATAAATGATATGTATATTTTATATGTGCACATGTTTATACTCATATTACATACGTATATAAACGAAACTGCAGAGCGAGGCAGCGAGGGAGATTGAGCAAAGCAGTATAGCATACAAAGTTAAGGACTGAACTCGAAAGCTGTCTTGTGCACTGCCCGTGACTTTGATGTCTGTGCTGTCTTCTAGGTGCCCTGTTGAACGACCTTGAGTGAGGGCATCATCAGATGGCATCAGTAGGGGCTGTTGTGATGATTTCTTCCAGTACAGCAGGCCTCATCTTTTTAGAGAGCGAGGGTCACTGATGCAGAACAAAGAAACATAAATCGTGGAGGTCAGGATTACTCCGAAGGCAACACATGCTGAGCGAATGATCTATACCTGCAAGATGACAGCTACAGCAAGGCCTAAGGCCATATCGCGGCAAGCGATACTCACTGAGATGATGATATGTCGTCCAGAAGGATTTGAAAGGTTCTTAACGGTTAAACCACGAAGCGGAGCTTGGGTATCAAGCCCGAAACCCCGCAAAAAAAATGATTGGTGAACCCCAGCTTAGGGGGCTTGCGCCTAATGGCCGGATATGCCATCCCTGAATCCTCTCCGAGGTCCCAAATCGAGTGGCTAGAATGCAAGCGAATCTCTCCTAAAGTCTCAAGCAAAAACTCCTCACCCCAGCCCGGCCATCTCGATACAGGTAATCCCCAGCGACCAAATGTCCGCCGTGGCATTGTAAGCCTGTGGAGGAGGGCATGAGGTTTAGGACTCCCTGATGCATTGGTCCACGACAGCCATATTGAATACTGTTGCTTACTCTCTTGCCGTTTCTGCTGCTATTGGTGCTGTCGCTGTGGCTGCAATAGGTTCTCGTTAAGACTGTATATATGTATATATATATATGTTTAAATATATGGCCCGCCATATATATGCTGTCGCTGTTGTTCTTGCGGCTGTTCATATTGTGGTTGTGGCTGCTGTTGATGATGATGTTGCTGTTAAACCTGCTGTTGCTGATGTTTCTGATGCTGCTGCTGTTGTTGCTGTTAATGCTGCTGTTACTATTGCTGTTGCTGCGGCTGCGGTTGTTGGTGGTGTTGCTGGTCTTCTTATTGCTGTTGCTGTTGCTGTAGCTTGTGCTGTTGTAATTTTCGTTGCTGCTACTGCTGCTGCTGCTGCTAAACCACATTCTGTTGTTGCTGCTGCTGTTGTTGTTTTTTGCTCCTGCGGGCGGCACAGCCGCCGCCGCTGCTGCTGTTGTTGCTGCTGCTGTTGTAGCCAGTTGTTGCTAGAGTTGTTGCAGCTTGTGCCGCGTTGTTTTTGTTGTCGTTGTGGCCGTCGTCGCTTTGGCCTTGGCGATGGTTGCGATTACTGCTGCAGTTGTTGTCGTTGTTGTGGTTGTCCTTGTCTTTGTCGCTTTGGTTGAAGTTGTCCATGGGGCTGCTTGGATGTTGCAGCAGGAAGAAGGTGACGCAACAAGATTGTCATCATCGTCATCAAGCATCATCACTGTGGGCGCAGGCTTCGCCTCCTGTTGCTGCCGATGGTTGGATCAGTGGAACAGCTACACTAAATAACTGAACGAAGGGTGGTTGATCAGCATCGGGGCTTGGGATTCAAAACGTGACATTGTAGACATGGAAGCTGAGAACACGAGTCTAAATGGCACGAGCAAAAACTACAAGTATCATATCGGGCCAATGCTATTCACAACACCCATGAGCACCATGATCATCTGCGACAAATCGTGCCAGGAGTCCGCGCCTCAGGTGAACCCCGCACTATGATGGTATGACATGATTTGGGAGGCTTGTGGGGCTTTGGAGCGAGCTATCAGCTTTCAAACCCTGTCGCTGCCGAGTCGGCTGATGTGAACTGCACGTCCGGAATCCTACATGCTAGCGAAGCCCACAGCCAGCAACCCCATCCCCAAACAAAACAAAACCCCACTCAACCCCCTGCATGCCTCTCCTTTGATAACCTCCGGGGCCATCCAGTAGGGCCTCTGCCGAGCTGCACTACAGTCTTCAACCGAGATATTCATGATACTGAGAATAACAAGTGTAAAACGATCGTATTCACAATAAGACCATGCAATGTGGGCTCTGCGTAAGATTAACGGGTGCCGTATGCAGGGTCCCTTGTAGTAAGGATCTCGCTGATGTCTTGATCCATCTCTGGTTCTCGACAGCAAAGGCACCCGCGGCAGCCCAAGCAAGAATGGTGTTTGTACGAGGGTCTGTGATCAAGTGTGTCACCATCTAGCAGTATGCAACCAGCATCAACTGCTCCTGGCAGTGCGAGAACGATGACAGCCATGAACAACTACCGTGCTGGTGCAATTCGACGCTGTTCTGCAAGTCTGGGCGCAGGCTAAGCAAACGAGAAGTTGTATTTGTTGGACCTCCAAGCTTCAGGCAAGAGAGCTCCGGATTGTAACCCGAATGAAGCCGGTTCCTGTGCCCGGGTCGCCGGACGAGCCAATCTGCGTGTTTCTCCGGGCCCAGGTGTTTTGGAGCTGGCAGGAGATGCCGAAGTCGGCAAGCTTCGGCTGGAACCTTGGAAGATTCATCCGGCGAAAAAGTCGAAGCAATACAGCGAGGGCGCTCATGATCATATGCCGATCCAGCGGCGAGAGTCGGCAGCAGCAGCAGCAGCAACACCCACACACACACCCACTGAATAACCAGCATGACCCGAACCAGCGCCGCTCCAACCTCCACCATGATCGCCACCGCGACCACCACCACCGCTGTCACAAACAGCAAGAACAGCAATGATAACAACAAGCCACTTTGAACAAGCAGACGAGCAACAACAAGAACAAACCAACCAACCAGCCAGCCAGCCAACCACGACCACAACCAACAACCAGCGGCCAACTGCCAACAACCACAATAAAAGCAGCAACAGCAACAGCAACAGTCTTCATAGCTCTCTGTAACGAAGCGATGCGACGAGCAGAAATTTGCAACACCTAGCAACAGCAAGGAAGGAAAAACGTTGATCTGGAGCCTCAATCCTCGTACAAATGTCCGACCAGATCCCTCATGCAAGCACTTTCAGACACAAATATGCCATGATGCACAAAGCATGCACATACAGTCGTAGCAAGTAAGCTAGTGCTTCTGTGGGACGGAAACGTAATAGCAGAGCAGCCCAAGACTGCTATTTTGCCAACTTCGCGTAAACCACACTGCGCAGCTGTGTTCATGAAAGATGCAATGACCAACGCCCTCTCCATACCGAGGCGACTGCTGTCCGGTGAGCAGGATGTTACCAGCCTCTCCGCAAGTCTGCAAGAGACGAAGCTCCGGTTGCGGGGACTTCCTAAAGTCCTAAAGCAACCGAAGCTTGATCTCGACGTGGGAGTTGTGCTTGGCTTCTGCGACCTTCGTGCCAAAAATGGCGTCAAGATGCACAGTCCGAAAGACTAGCGCATAGAAGTACGTCGCGTTTGCGGAAAGCTCTGAGCGCTCGCCACTGATTCACGCGAAATTGAATCCCATCGCGATGAAGCTCGCGAGGTTCGACCCGATCATTCAGTCTAGCAGCTGCGAACATGAGCGAAACTAAACAGCCTCGGGGCAATGGACTACCACTGCTTTGCTTCCATGACTACTCTCATGGTTACAGTACCGTTTCCAACGTCAAACCTCCTGGGCATGCATGCACAGAACGCGGCAGAGAAACACAGTCCAACTCGGCAGAATTCCACATCATCCTTAGTCGACACCACTAGCTCGGTGCCAAGACCAAGATAGTCGCTGTTGACATGATGTTGACGACGACCATGCTGATGCTGGTGCTGATGACGTCGTGGCTATTGTGATAATGGCGATGGCGATGTTGCGGAAGGCAGTGGTGATGGGTTGTGATGCTAGTGGGAATCACGACCTTGCTCTTTGGCATTGCAGTAGCATTTCCGGTTGTGTCTTATGGTGTTGATGGCTGTGTAGTGCTATGCTGCTCTTTTTCACAAGCCGGGACCAGGAGAAATCCACAATCTCCGGGCCTTCACGTCGCGGTGAATCTTCCTCAGGGTGGGGCTAAGGGCTTGTGGGAGGTTATGCTGTCGGGCTTTGTCGCTTCGCGCATTAAGGGTTGGAGTGAAGCAGTCAGCGTAAGTCACGGTCAGGCCAGAGGCTGCTGTCCACCATGGAAGCTTCGGTGTCTACAAATTTCTTTCTGCTGGCACAGCACGCTATGCGACGGTAACCGAAGTCAGTGCAAATGGACCTGAACACTTCATTCAGATGGTTGGTAAGTTTGGATGGCTGAAAAGCTATTGCCACAAAGGTATCATCTGTTGTGTTGTTATCTGGGAACACGACTGAGTGCCTCTAAGTCGGAATCCACGGCTAAGCGGTGTTGCCCACCGCCGTACAGTTGCCATCACATGTGACCGCGTGTTCAAAAGCACGCAGCTAAACCTGGACGATGTCGTTTCCGAATGGTTGGGTTCCCTCTGCCTAAGCTGCAACAGTAGAACCCTCTGCCTTTGGAAGAAAGAAGACGTGTTTCACGGATGGCACTGGCGGCTCGAAACTGTCCCAGGCATGCAAAGCAGATCCGTCCTAAGCTCAATTTTGCACTCGTGATTTCCGACCCTGAATTCAAGCCCCGACAACACTCATCCTTCGACACTCTGAATAGTCTAATGCTAACACCATTATTCTGTTGATGAGTCCTCTTGCGCTTATCAGCTGGAATCCTATACGTTTTGCTACCTCGACATATTCACCTGAGGCCACCGCTTCGTGTCATGCAGGTACTGGAGACCGCGCAACACCTTCTCAAACTGAGGTCTGTGACTTCAGACTTCTCAGCCTAAAAAACCAGACACTAGTAGCCAATGCTAACTGCTAGCCCAGAGAGTCAGTCCTTTGAATGTGCCAGACTCCAGGATTTCCAGCCCAGGACGTCAGGAGGGAAACCGTCTTCGGCAGCAGTTCGATTTCAGCTTTTCACGCTCACGACAGGTCTGTCTGAGGGATCGTCTAGTAAAATAGATGTGGAGAAGCACGCCACAGATGCGGCTCTCGGCGTTCAGCGGATGTCGCTCGTGTCAGGCTGCACTGAGCTGGCGAGGGCAGGGCTGCCTTGAGCTAAGGCAGTCACGAGGTACCAATGCTCCGAAAGGGGTCATTCAAAAGGGGGCACTGGGAGACACTGCAAGATGTTGCATGGCCTCTCGAAACCTTGTAGACTTCAGAGACTGTGTTCGGTACCACAGCTGCAGCGAGCCGGCTCTTTGCGATGCGACCGAGACCGGCTCTTCTTCCTCACCCGTCACCCGTAGAACGGCCCGTGCGAAGGGAGGCTGTGCTCCAGTTCGCATGAGACATGATTCACAAATTAACTGCGCTATGCCTGGGTCCTTTATGCAGAAGGTAACAGGTGGGTTGCGCCCGCATTTCAATATGTTAACATTGTTAACAACACCTGTATCACACGGGCTCATGAATCCAGATTGGACTATGCATGCACACCCTTTCAGGGCTGTCGCTCAACAGCATGTCTCTGTCTGAAACCCTTGCATGATCAGCACATGATATGATCCAGGCATTGCCAGCTCAAGAGCAAAAAAGATCAATCAGGCTCTTCCTTCGCCTCGTCGAACAACTTGTTACTGCATCTCACACGAGAAACAAACTCCTTCGGCAAGGAAGTGCCTCGTGTCCGCCGATGAGGCAAACAGCTAGGCATTGCAAACTATGGGTGGCAAGATGCAAGTAGGATTAAGCTCCGCTGTCATTCTCCTGCTGTCTGGGCCACTCGCTGCTTGTCGCTACCTTCTCCAGGCCGGAGTCCACGTTAAATTCCTCTCTATTCGGACACTTCTACCCTGGTGCCAGTCCGAAGCAGCATCATGAACTGTGGAGGGTTGTGTCAGGGCATGGCCATCAGGGCTCTAAGGAGGTGGGGCAGGCGACTTGCAGCACAATTCCAAAGAATTCTGACAGTTGAGACGCCGTGCGTTGCTGTTGAGCTGAGCGGTGGTGGACGATGTCGAGCACGACATGTTCTGAACTTCTTCTTCATATCCGCGTAGTCCAATCATGCAACCAGCAGGGGAGACCCACAACGCTTCGGGACTCTGGTGACTTTGATCCGAGGTTGTGATCAGGCTTCGAGCGATTACGAAGTCTTCCAGCTACCGAAGCTTTGGCTGAACACTCTCCATGAACCGCAAGCTTCAACCTGACCAGTGCAAAGACCGCAAGTCTTAGATGAAAGCTTCGGAATGAAACACAAACACAGTCGCTGAATACCCGAGGAACATCGCATCTCGACTCTCTCCCCGCTCACAGTCCAATCGCAGGCGGCCCGATTGAAACAGTCGACCAAGACCCCTCAAGTAAGGAATCACCCTTTGCCTTAGCTGATTTTGAAAGGCGTGTTCCTCAATTAAAACAGATCTTGGGCTGTCTGGCCACAGGCCTGTCCCATGTGTCGCCCTTATAGATGCTGCCTCCAGAGTAGACCCTCTGGATCAGCGGGGAGGGCGGAGGTCGGCAGCTTTCGGTCTTTCTGATTCTGCTCACTTACCCCTCAAGGCTCTGAAGTTTGAACCCGCCTTTACGTACCACGTTCGAGAGACATGTTGGGATGGTAGCAGTAATTATGATCCGGTACTTCTCCGTCTCAACTACTATGCTTACCATCCGTCTCCCGAAGAACCCCGGAACCTCTCCACCCTCCACCCAAAGCTTCGTAGTTTGGAATCTCACTCTCTCTCTCTCTCTCTCTCTCTTTCTCTCTCACTCAATTTCCGCCCGGTAGGCTCTCCCCGCAAGCAGCTTGGCGACCCAGGGTACTTCCTGCGGCTCGATTCGAACCAAAACGATCCTAAATGTGGGGCGTGCCGGCAGGGAAGTTCTTGGGAATGATGCTTCAAGGCTCATAGGATGGCGGAGTGGCAGAAAAACCGAGCTCCGCCAAGAGTTCGTTCTCCCCTGCGAGGGATTGCTTGCCGCCACTAGAGTTCCGTCAATTTCTGTCGTCTTCAGCCTCGCCTGGAGGCTTCTGGCTGGGCATGGTGTTGACTAGCAGTGTCGGTTGCGATACACGCAGCCAAAATTCGACGCGCTGGGGTCCAGGATCCCGCTGTGGGGACTTCTGAGGTTCTGCCCTTCTGAGTGTGAGCGGGATCCTCTGACCACTCTGCAATCCTATCGGAACTGACGAGCTCTCTTGGTCTGGCTACCAGGCATCGCTAGCCGTGGATGTATCGGCTCCTCCTTCTCCTGAGCATTGCCTCACTGAAACGCCTTCAAAGCCGACAGGCACACATGCTAAAGCCAGTGCTCAGGAATGGAGAAAGCAGGCTTCACGAATGCCTGGGCGTACAGCCACTGACCAGCCACTGACCATAGCCCCGCGACGCGCAGGGCTGCACAGGCTGGGAATCGCATGAGCCGCTGCCTTTGTTGAGTTGATAAGATTGTTTCTCTTTCTTAGGTCCTACCCCCCACAGTGATCCGATGTCAACCGGAGATCGAACTAGAGCTTCTTAGCCTCTTGAAGCCGCCTTTGCAATCACTCCTAGATTCGCAGCGTCTGGCTTTC